GGCGTAGGTTCCTGGGGAGTCCAGATGCTGCAGGATGAAGTGTAGGGCCATGTTGATGGCGTCATCTACAGACCTGTTGGCTCTGTATGCAAACTGCAGGTGGAACAGACGAAAGGCCGGGGTCATTGGATGTGGAATCAAACTATACCATGGTGTAGATAGGAAGGGAGTAGGGGTAATATTAAAGTAATAGCATGTCAGCAGTGTTGTGGAGGTGGAGCGAGGCTCAGACAGGATCATGAGTCTAAAGGTGAAACTCAAAGGTGGGATGTTGTCCGCTTTCTGAATGTTCCCTTGAATGTTGTTGCTGTGTATGGCCCACATGTGGTACAGTTAGTGGGAAGAGAGAGAGAGGTATTCTGGAGTAAGTTTAGTGATGTTGTAGAGGCTGGGGATTGGAGCAGAAACTTGTATACATGCAGGTGAAGGAACAGTGGCGATGAGGACAGATAGTGGTGGATTTGGGGAAATGATCAAAATGGCTGGGGTGAACAAATACTTTAGGAAAAGGGTGGAACATGCAGTGAAATAAGAGTGGAGGCAGGTTCACACAGGTGGACTACATCTTGTGCAGAAGGTTGAATGTCAAAGCAAGACAAGACTGCAAGGTTCTCATCAGAGAATGTAACTAAGCAGCATCAGATGGTAAACTGTAGCATGAATTTGCATGTGAAGAAGAGGAAGGAGAGCAAGTTGACAAAGGAAGAATGTTCCCCAAAAGTTGATTCTGTTGATCTGGATGTAGAGTTTACAAACATTTAAAACTCTACGGCCACTGTTAAAACATTTCATACACAGTAAAGTTATAGTTATGAGCCATAAGTATTGATAAAACAGACATGATTACAGAAACCTGGTTACTCACTGTCACAATCCTCAAAGCACAGGCTGAGGAAGAGGAGTTGTAGCAATCCTTCACTGTAGCTTATCAGCCAACCAAAAACACAGACCGAGTTAAACTCTTAGTGTGTGAAGAAGATAGTGATTTAATATGGTAATTATTGTTTATTAGTAGCCACATTATTTATTAGATGTACAACTATAAGCCCCACACTTATCCGCACATGTCGTTGTTGTCATGTTGTCATCAGGAACAGCCTCCACAGACACTGAGTGCTCTGACTGCAGCAGTGGAACATTTTCAAATGGAACATTTCACTCCTGTCAGCCACACACACAGTAAGTGAAGCTTCAGAGACACATGTGCAACATCTGTACACTGTCCTCTAACAGTGTCCCTCTGTCCTTCCAGATGTCACTCACTCAACCTTCAGCAGATAACAGCAGGAACATCTGCAACTGACTCTCAGTGTGGAGAAAAAAGTAATCATATGACACTGGTTGTCATTATCACTGTGATGCTCTCAGTAGTTGTCATTATTGCTGCAGTGTTATTACTACGACATTACAAAATGAAGGGGTTTTGGAGTGTAAATACCGGTGAGGATTATGAAACAAAGAAATTGTTCTTTTTTTACTAGATCATAATCATTTTTGACAGTGATTTTATTTTTTTATAGATTTTGTTTAATTACAGTCTCAAACAGTTAAGACTGCGTGTTTGTGTCTTTCTCAGTGTTCATTGTATCAGATGTAAACAATGTGTTATCTAAAAAAATTTCTTTTTTTTTCTTTTTCTTTTTCTTTAATGGACCAAAAAGAAGATGTTGTAAAATGATGACATCCGAAGGTAAGACAGTGAGTTGCTGAGTGAGTGAGCTGCACTGATTTCTCTACAGATGTATCAGAGCTTTAATCACATGTGCTTCTCTCCTCAGTGTGGACCATCATGAAGGACAATAGACAGGAAACGATCGGCTCTCTGCAGAATAAACCTGTCCTAGAAGGAGGACGGTGACAGGTTGTGTTTGCAGTGGACAGAAATAAAGAAGCTGAGCGTCCTGCATCGCTCCGGTCTGGATTATGATGATTCATAATTCAGTTCAGGTGCTTCACAAACAAAAGCAATTCCTTTGAAAATCATCAAATACAAGGACTGCACTGAAAACACGTGAGAATTCAGCCAACTTCAGTAATTCTCAAAACATGGCTGCTGGTTAGTTTTCCACCTGTGTTTACGTCCAAAGATCTACACATCTGTATGTTTCAGCTTTGTCCTTCTGTCACAACATTGTTCATCTTCATCTTAACTTCCTGCTAGCTTCTATCATGGTTAAAGCTCATGAGTCATCGGGACATCCAACAATGATGGTGTTACTGGAGCTGAGTGAAGTTTGATGGCTTTATTATCCACGCTGTGACACATGGCAGCTGTCACAGCAGAACACATGAAGTCAGCAGGTGTGTTTAAATTCAGGCTCTGCTTCATCTGAAGATCGATTACATCACACCAAGGCGACGAAGCCCATCCAGAATCCGAGGCTCCTACAAACGTGTCCTCCTTTCCCTAGATTTGAAGGACAAGTCGGTCCACCCGATCCCAAGATTCATTGCAGCGTGGTAGTGGAACATATATTTTGGTCCAGAGATGGAGCAGCACTCTCTCTCTGAGTCTCTGATGCTGTTTTATGTTTAAGTCTGGCTTCAGTTCAATCTAATTTAGCTGCTATGACATCAGAGAGTGTAGGGAAGGAACAGCCACACCCACAGGTGACATCATGCAGTTTGTGTTTTCACCTTCAGAGGACGACAAATCAACACAGACAGAGAGCTGCATTCAGACTTTCCAGCCATCAGTAATAACTTCAAAAATAATCATCAGTGTTTCAGCAGTTATGATATCAGAGATAATCTAGATATGTGTGACAATACTGAACATGACACATGACACACGACACAAATCATGTGATCCACTCTGACTGCACCTTCATTCATGACTTCAACATGTTGAAATGAGCTTTGAAGAAACATTTAGTGAAATAAAGCTTTCATCACAGGATTAATGGGAGCACCAGTTGAACTTTGTACTAACAACATTTTGAATAACAGTTTGAATAAAGCTCAGGTGTTGAAGATACTCACTGATTGAATGGTTGTTTTCAGCTCTGCTCCCAGTCTTTACTGGTGAAGATAGGTGTGACTGGATCTATAGACAGAGAGACAGAAAAGCATGCTGAATATTTGAAGCTTTGCAGTAGAAATGTTTATATTTTAAATACCACAGAGCTGATGTGGGATCAGTGTGTTCACACCTGCAGATACAAGGTTTCATGTCTTCACACGTCAACATTTGAACATTACTCTGACTTAGACTCAGTCTGAGCAGCCAGACAACATATTTTCACACATCAATACACACAGAGATGAGCCCCTCCCACCTGTCCTGCTCCAGGTGGAGTCCCACCTCCTTACAGGAAGCAGCTCACCTGTGTGTCTGTGTTTAGTGTCCAGGTGTGGAGTGGAGCTTGTTGTTCGTGTGTGTGTTTGAAGAAACTGTAAGTTTGCTTTGTTTCCTCTTTTAACAGTTTGGTTTTATGAACTTTACTGTTTGTTTCTGCTCTCTAGTGTTTGGAGCAGATGTTCAGCTCTTATTTCAGGACAAACTTTGGATCACTCTTGTGTTTGAAGACTAATCCACATCATTTTAGGTTATTGATTGACTGGAATCCACACTGGTTATCCGTCAGTAACTCTGCAACAGTTACTGACAGTATATATCGATCTGTATGAAACTTTAGACCCATCAGACTCTAATCAGTAATCTGATAGAACATTGTTCTTCCCTTTAACTAGAAAAAGTCAGATAAAATCAGTTTGTTCTTAAGAAGTCAACATTCAGGTCTTACTAAAGCAATGTTGAGAAAACAAGAAACAAAGAAGCTCCAGCTCAGTTCAGGATCACTGCAAGGAATCTCAGAATAAAAAATATATTCTCACAAAAACCACAAACATTAACAGCATGTTTTAAACCCTGGAGGCTGTGACTTACATCATGGATAATGTGCGTAAAAGATTATGAACTTGTCGACTTTTCCACGTCTTTGTGTTGTTGTCATGTTCACTTGTTCTTAATAAGTGGATTTGGAGTTTTCTTCTTTAGCATTTGAAGGTTTTAATCATTAATAGTTGGTCAGAGTGTGGTCACTTGTGTTTCTCTCTATTTTGAGGTCCCAAGTCTCTGAATTTTTTTTTAACGCTTTGAAATGTTCAGATCTAAACCACTTTAACAAAGACTGCACAGTTGTGTCCAGAAGCTCAGGTCTGAGTCTGTCTCAGACCTTGTTGTCAGCAGAGCTGAGGAACTACAGAGCATCAACACTGTTGATGCTTTCCTTTAACAATGACTCAGGATAATTCATGAAAACAGAAAATTGGATTTAAAAGTAGAAGGAACAGACTAGAAAGCTGTTTCAAACAATCAAACAGTTTCTCTACTGATAGCTGATGATTGACAAGTCACAGAAACTTGTCAAGCTGGTAGAACAGAACAAGAAGTGAGACATTTCTTATTTTAAGTAAAAAAAATCTGATAAATAATGTGGATTACTGAGTAAATAAACTTCTGATGTATGTTAGTGTTTTTACAGCTCTGTTAAACAACCTGTTGTTACTGCTGATGCATCCCAAAGATCAGATGTGCTGCAAACTGAAACTATGCTGCATGCAGTTACCTGTTTTTCCAGTTTAACTTTTTATGAAGATTATTTCCTTGTCTGAAAACACCGCCTATCATACAAAGCATTTTTGTTTCTCACGAATATGATGGAAGACAGAGGAAGAAACTAACGCTTCTTCTCACCTGACTGTGTTCCTGTTACAAACATTATAGGGATATTATACAAATTGCTGTAGTTTATAATATAGCTTTTAAACATTTATTTATGCCTGTGTCCCTGAATTAATTTGATAATCATGTGAAGAACTTGTTGTCTACACATGAATTATGGTCTATTAATAAAGTCGAGACTATTAATTCTGATGTTATTATAGGCGATCTGTCAGCTTTCTGTTCAGCTTCCTTCTCTCACCCCAACACAGCAGATGGCGGCGCTCCCTGAGCCAGGCTCTGCTGGAGGTTTCTTCCTGTAAGAAGGGAGTTTTCCCTTCCCCCTTTTACCAAAGCGCTTGCTCATATGATTGATTGAGGGGGGGAGGGGGGGGGGGGTATTACTGTAGCCGTCTTTACCTTACTACAGAAACAACTTTTGGTTTGTTGTTTTTGCTATAGAAATAAAATTGAACTGAACTGGTGCTGTCAATATAGAAACAGTTTGTTCTCATAGTTCCTACTGAAAGTAATATAAGTGTGAAACGTTGCTTTAAAAAAGGATTTAAAGCTAAACAAATGACTTTTAGCTCAGTGTTGCTAAACAGTGTATTTTAACCCAAACCATGATGATGAAATAGAAATCACAGAAACTCTGTCTGCTCTCTTCTGGTGTGTTCAGAGAGCAGGGAGGGTTCTCTGTTTGAGTTAGGATTAAGACTGTGTTGGTCAATCGCTCTAATCTTCTGTGCCGTTTAATAAAAAAACAAACAAACCCCAAAACAACTACAGGATATAATAAAAATCATTTCTCACATACTTGACTCCTCTGCTCAGCAGTATCAGGGCTCTTTTCTTGTTTTCTACTTTCTTGGCTTCCCGTCATGAAGCAACTGCCATCTTGTTTTTTCTTCCATATCTAGTGTCTGTTCTCCATTTTAGAGAATGTAAAGCTGCTGAACCTGTTTTCATGTTAGTGTCTGTAGCATCCTTTGAAACAGCATTTCTACAGTGTAGCACTGAATCGGTTCACTAAACAGGTTCAGAGGAATAACTGGAATATTTCCCAAACAGAGAGAGCCTGAAGAGATTTTTATACCCAGTGTACACTGTTTCTACTTTGAAATATACAATTTTTTGTGCTTTTTAATTACACAAGATAAAATCTTTTGTTTTTTGGATTCCAATAAATTTTACTAAATCTTCTATTTGCAAAATAAAACCAATAAAGGCTCAACTACAGCTTAAAGCCAGTGACAATAAATAGGTTTCAAAGAGTTATTAAGTTGCTGTCAGATTAGGGAGCTCTAATGTGAAAGGACAAGTTAAATATTAGGAACCACCATCGAAGAGACTCACCTCTGCTTTTGAGCTCAGATCTATAAATGTCTAAAATTAGTTGGTTCATAGACTTCAGGGTCATGTTAAGACTGGCAGGCTGTAAACGTTCGGTTAGGTACAGTGGCACCAAACCATCTCTGCACAGACAGCATGCTAACACAAAGCTAGCCAGGAACACAGAGTGATGTCAAATCTGAGTCTCTGGAGCACAGCAGCCAGAGCCTGAACTACAACTGATGAGCAGTCAGGCTGCAGCCTCCTTTTCTACCTGTTCATGTTTCTAAAGTAGAAACACTGTGGTGATCGCTTTGATCATAGAGCTCATAGAGACCAAGAGAAAGTGATCTGTGTTGGTGTGTGGGGCTGTAGTCTGTAGGTTTATATTGTTTAATTGTGAGACAGTTTCAGGTCATTTGTGGAGACGTGAAAATAGTGTAACAAGTACAGGAGCAAAATACTCCACCGAGTGGTTAGGTAACATTTTGCGTTACTTTAAAGAAAAATAGCCAGTAATATGTAAGACATTACTTTCTTTTTGAGTAACCACCCTAACATATCATGTGAACTTTATTCTGACTCAGAGTCAGTCTGAGCAGTCAGACAGCATATTTTAGGAGTGAACACATGAAGGTGTGGCCTGCACACACACACACACTGAGAGACAAGAACCCGCAGTTAAATGGTTCAGGGTAGACACACTGGTCCACAGTGTCTCTTACACGCTTTGCCTTAATATGGGATTGGAAAGTGAATCCTTCTCTAAAGCTTGATGCTCGTGTCAACACTGTGGTAAACAAGTTGAAAGAACGATCAAGCCTCTTATAAACGCATCCTTGAAATAATGACACATTCTTTTGTTACTTCTTGTCTCGATTAGTTTTCTTTTTATCAGAATCAGCCAGGCCTCTGTTGCTCGTCTACAGTTGATGCAAAACGCTGCTGCTTGATTTTTATCTGGTGCAAGTGAAGAGCACCTGAGTTCAGTGTCAGCTTACCGTTAACGACTTTGCTTGTTTGTGAATATATTTTAAAATCATTTTTGTTGGCCTTTAAGTCTCTTAATGGTTGTCCCTATTTTATCTGTGTGAGCTGCAGCACCTTTATGTCCCACCTTGTACTCCCAGGTCAGCATACCAGATGTTTTTACTTGTTTCAAAGACACAATGTAAACTGAGAGAGATTTCACAGCTGTGGCGCAAAAATTGTGGAATGATTTGCCGTTGATGTCCAGCTCCTTCAATCCCTGTTTTGTAAATCTTATTTTTTTAAATCACGCTTTTACTCCGAACCTATAACTCAGTGTGAGATGTTGTCTGTGATCTTAAGTTACTTTTTATTTTGCCTTTTATTGTTCAAATTCTTTAACTCCTGTATCTGTATCTTTACATTCTGGTTTTTATGTTATTGTACAGCATTGTTGCTGTTTTTAAATGCTCTATAAATAAAGTGGTATTCCAAACTTACAAACACAAAGTCTGTGGAACAAGAACAACACACACACACGTACACAAGTTAAGAAAGGATCCTGTTTCTCTTGCTTCATTCTTTAAATCATTATAGATTATTGACTGGAATCAAAAAGTTTGATGAACAGCTCATGTTTGATTTCTTCACACAGCTGGACCAACGAGGCCGAGTGTGTCTGCCATTTTCTGTAAGTGTGTGATCAGAGTCTGGGAATCAGACTAAACACACTGAATGAGCTCGACTGGAGAGACTCTGAGCCTTTATATTTACAGGGACAGCAGGAGATAGAGAGTGGACTTTTTGAATGATTATTCCTTACAAATGTATCTTAGATAAAGATCAAATGTGTCGGCTTCTGATTAAAAATACTACGCCACAAACTGTTGGCTCTGTTCCAACAGGAACCAGCATTAGAAAACACATAAGGTTAGTATAGTTCACTGAAACTAAACTCAAAAGTAAAATTAGATCTGAGAAAACATTTTTAACTAACTAAAATTATAATAAAAAGTAAACTTAAAAAGATTACAACTAAATAAACTAACTGAAATTAAATTATTGGGGTAATATCCTTCGTTTTAGGTTTTATAGTTTGTTAAAAATCAATACTTACCTTATGAGGCTTTAAGAGACATAGTTACTTAGACTTTGAGAGTCACAGCTTTCAAAAGGTTCTGTTTTTATTATTAAAATCTGTACTGATTTTCTTTAGTCTAGCCTCTGACATACACAATTAATCTGCCTTCTCCATCTTCCTTTGGTTTGCTGTCTACATTAATCCTGAACTCACAGTGACAAAATATCACGTGTTATTTTTCTCATTACCAGTAAATCAAAGGAGAATTTCAGTTGATGTGCACATGAATGGTTTGTGTTTCCTCTGTAGGTGAAGGTAGAAAGTGTGCG